AATCTTCCATGGCAGACCATGGTTTGAATCCCAGACCTCGTGGCTTTCATTCTTTCTTTCCCTTTTTCTCTGTCTCTCTCAGGTCAAATTAAAAAATGATAATTAATAAAATAATTTAAAAAAGAATATGGATTCATACAAAGGTCTGTAAATATTAGGACAAAATTTAAAAAAAAATTAGGATTTTGCCTTAGGATGCTTCAGCTCACAGGAGACGGATACAGAGAAGGAAAGTAAAGAAATCATTCCCTATGAGGGATAGTCACATAGCAACCCCTTCTCCATTCTCTTGAGATTTTTGGGCATGCATGCACAAGCGTCCAGTGTGATTCTCAACCCTATGGCTAAACCATGGTCAGCCATTTGGGAACCCAGTGACTTAACCACCATACCATGTACTGGGCCCAGGCAAATTATTTTAAGAAGTTTATTTCTTCTTTGAGTGAGAGAGAGAGAGAGAGAGAGAGAGCGCGAGAGCAATCTCAGCAGGGTCTTTTTCCCTTTAATTAACATATAATAGAGGGTCAGCTTGTGGCATGGTGGTTAAGGTGGCTGGTGCTTACATAGCTGACTGCAGTTTGAGTCTCAGACCCAGTGACTTGAAAAACAGACCAGGCATGGGGACCAGCAGTTAGCGTAATGGCTATGTCACTGGACTCCCACGTAGTCGACCGTGGTTTGCGTCCCAAACCCAGTGGCTTAAAACTCACGCCAGGCGCGTGTGCGTGCGTGCCCAAGATCCTGAGAGGAGAATGGAGGAGAGGGGACTGTGGTGTGGCCATCCTCCCGAGGGGTGATTTCTCGCTTTCTGTCTCTCTGTCTGGCGAGCGCACACGCCCTATAGCAAAAACCTCTGAAAAAAAAAAAAACAAACAAAAAAAACCAAACAGACCAGGCATGTATGCATGCATGCATGCCCCAAATCCAGAGAGAATGGAGAAGGGACTGTGTGTGGCCATCCCTCCTGGGATGTGCTTTTTGACTCCTCTTTCCCCTCTCTGACAAGCATAATCATCCTATAGCAAATAAAAATAAATAAATAAAATACATATATAATAAATGTACATAATTGTGGAGGGAGGTGTCAACAGGGTCTTTATTACCATCCACCCCACCCCCCCAGCCCTAGTCAGACCTGGATCAAGGTTGTGTGAGTGCCTGACACACTCAGGGAGGTCTCTGGACACGAACTGGAAACCTTCCCATGTAGGTGAACCTTGCAGAACATCGAGGTTTACCACACCATCATACCACAGTCCAGCCCCCTATTTGGCAAAATTTAAAAAAATGTTACTATATTTTTTAAAATTTTACATAAAAAAGTTTAAAAATAATTAAGTGTTTGCTTTATGAAAATAATTTGTGTTAGGAGCCAGCATTTGGCATGGTGGTCAACAAGCTCTCACATGGTCAACTGTGGTTTGAGTTCTGGACCTGGTTACCTAAAAATCATGCCAAGCTCATGTCCAGGATCCCAAGAAGAGAATGAAGAAGGGACAGTGTGACCATCCCCTCTGGGGGGTGATTTCTTACTTTCCCTCTCTCTGTCTCTGTTTCTTTCTCCAGCGAGTGCATGTACCCTATGGCAAAAACACAAAACAAAACAAAACAAAAACACTTTTTTTTAAAAAAAAGGAATTATTTATTTTATATCTTCATTCATTTATTTTAATTTGATTAGAGAGAGATACAGAAAGGGAGAGAAGGAAAGTGAGAAAGCAAGTCACCAGGTCTGGGACATGACCTGTGGCTGGTCATGTGGGAGTGTCTAGGACCTCAACCACCACGCCACTGCTGACCCCATGGCAAAAAAAAAAAAAAATCTTAAAAAAAAATTTGTGCTAAACTTTTTATTTTTTTTAAAGGACCGAGTGCTTGATACATGAAATTAATTGATATAAAACTGATCTCATCCATTACAAAGATACAAAAACGTGTCTGGGAATACTGGTAACTTTTCTTAAAGAAAAAACTGATGTAATTTAATATTCGATACACGGAAGTTTTTGAAATTTCAAGTATCTGTGTTAAACAAATTAATGGAAGAAACAGAGGTTGATAAGAGCAGGTATCACATTTATCCCTACAGGACGGAATTTGAAACAACAGAATTCCAGCTAGCTTTATAATCTATTTTATTAGCATTACAAAAAAAATGCAGTTTGTTAGTGCACATAAATAAGAACTAGAACATTTAGAAATCAAGAATGTTAAGATTTTAAATCTTAATGTTAAGATTTTAAAAATTAAATGTATACTCCTTATTAGTAGCATTCTTCCATGCTTATTTATTTATTTATTTTTTGGAGAGGTTTTTGGTATAGGGCATGTGCGCTGGACAGAAAGAGAGAGATAGAAAGTGATAAATCACTCCCTAGGGGTATGGCCACATTGCAATCCCTTCTCCTCCATTATCCTCTCAGGATCTTGGGCAAGCATGCACATGCCCTTGTGTGAGTTTAAGCCACCAGGTCCAAGACTCGAACTGCGGTCAACTACATGGGAGTCCAGCGACATAGTCATTATACCAACTGCTGGTCCCCTTCCATGCTTATTTTTATGTCTTATGGCTTTCTACCACAGGCCCTCCTAACTTCAATGAACTTGATTGGGATTTCTCTAAAAACTTGTGGAGTATGTAAAACATGTTATGCATTCTGCATTAAAATATAATGAAATGATCAGACTACAACTGGAACCGACTGCTTTCAAGTTCTTTGTGTTTAATTCCACTGAAATTGCATTATAAAACTGGAACAGTTATGGTCAAAAATAAATATGTAAGAACAGAACTTACACATGCAGTTGACTACATTATGAGGGGCCTTTAAAAAGTTTGTGGGAGGGACCAGCAGTTAGCGTAATGGCTATGTCGCTGGACTCCCATGTAGTTAACTGCGGTTTGCATCCCGGACCCAGTGGCTTAAAACTCAAGCTGGGTGCATGTGCGTGAGTGCCCAAGATCTGGAAAGGAGAACAGAGGAGAAGGGATTGCAGCGTGGCCATCCCCCCTGGGGGGTGATTTCTCGCTTTCTGTCTCTCTCTTTCTGTGTGGGGAGTGCACGTGCCCTATAGCAAAAAACTCTCCAAAAAAAAAAAAAGTTTGTGGGAAAAGGAATTAAAATTAGAGTTTATTTTGGGGTAAAAATTCAGAAGTCCATGCAGTTTTTTTCAAAATATGCATTTTCCATTTTTTTTTAAACATTTATTTATTTATTTATTTATTTATTTGTTGTGATTTTTCAAGTCACTAAGTTTGGATCTTGAACCATGGTCAGCCATCTGGGAATCCAGCACTATAACCACCATGCTACCTGATGGCCTCCATAAACTTTTTTTTTTTTTTTTTGAGAGGTTTTTGCTATAGGGCACGTGCGCTCGCCAGAAAGACAGAGAGACAGAGAGAAATCACCCCCCAAGGGAGGATGGTCACACCTCAATCCCTTCTCCTCCATTCTCCTCTTGGGATCTTGGGCGCACACACACATGTGCCTGGCGTGAGTTTAAGACACTGGGTCCAGGACTTGAACCATGGTCGGCTACATGAGAGTTCAGTGACACAGTCATTATGCTAACTGCTGGCCTTCCATGAACTTTTAAAGCACTTCTCATATATAATTTAAAATAAAATAAATATTTAGAAACAAATTTAGTGGCGCAAGCAGATGGTGTGGTGGTTAAGCACTGGACTCCCACATAGCCAACCATGGTTCAAGTTATGGACCCTGCAGCTTGCCTTCTCTCTCTCTGGTAGCTCATGTGCCTTTGTAGCAAATTAAAAAATAATAATAATGGGGGCCAGAAGATGGCATAGTGGTTGAGGTGCTGGACTCCCGCATGCCAACTATAGTTCAAGTCCTAGACCCGGAGGCTTAAAACTCATGCTGGTATGTGTGTGCATGCCCAAAATCCGTAGAGGAAAACAGAGAATGCATTGTAGCATGGCCATCCCTCTGAGGGTAGGGGGTAATTTCTCACTTTCTCTGTCTCTCTGGTGAGTGCATTTGCCCTATAACAAAAATCTCTTTTAAAAAAAAAAAAGAGCTAAATTAAAAAAATGAACAAACTTAGTAGTTTGAGGAAATCTATAAAAGAATGACATTATCATTCAATTACTATAATTATAATTTATCACTATATACTTTTTCTTTAAAGTGGGCCGCAGGCTTATTGGTATATATTTTTTACAAGCAGAGTAATTTATCTAGAGATCATTTGTCTATCAAATTGGAATCTAACACAGAACCTAAACCAAAATCCAGGTATACAAAGATACTCTGAAAGTTCGCATTTCAAAGGATATGGCTAATTCATAGAAAAGGCCTAAAATAAGAACATAAATACTTGTATTTTTCAATTCTTACAAGTACTTGTAACACAGTTTAATACCTTAACAAAAAGTAAAACATTTCCCAGGCTTCATAGTTTTCAGAAAATGCACATTAATTCTTAGCTAAGCTGCCAGGTTCTCCCTCATGCATGTTATCTTTTACTTTAGACTTCCTAAAAACTTGTCTGGATTCCTGGCCTGTAGTAAATTACAAAGGAAAGTGAAAAACTGGCTGAGGCAGGCACATTACCAACTAATCCAAAAGTAAGATCAGGTGACAGAAAAAGTGTAAGAAACAGATTTAAGTTTGAAAAATAGTAAACTCGAATAATTTAGAAACATAATAAACCTTCTTCACTAGCTCCTACGGACATCAATATATTGGGCCCAATGTAATAGGTAAACATGAGGTGTTAAAAAGCATAAAAATATGTATTTTAAGATATTTCTAGTTAAAATGTTTAGTGTTTAAAAAGATAAACTTGGAGCCAGCAGATATAGTAGTGGTTAAGGTGCTGGACTCCCACATTGTCAACTACGGTTCCAGTCCTGGACCTGGCTGCTTGGAAATCATGCTAGGCACAGGTACGTATGTGCCCCAAATCCCAGAAGAACGGAGGAAAAGGGATTGCAGTATGGCCACCCACCTCTGGGGGTCATTTCTCACTTTCCCTCTCACTGCCTCTCTCCGGTGAGTGCATGTGCCCTATGGCAAAAACATAAGAATAAAATAAAATAAAGATAAATTTGATTACATGGATAATCCACTTGTGAGGACAAGCCATGATAGTTATCTGTAATAATGGAGGATCAAGTGAGGCATACCAAAGTAACTCAAAAATATGAAACTAATTAATTTACATATAACAATGTGGTTCATCAGAATAAATGTAGTAAATTTAAAAATCACTGTCAACTCCTTTATTTTCTAGGTTAAATTCTTCTAAAGTTCCCTTTTCTCTTGTATTTGAATATGCTATAAAATCCTGAACTTTTCCTTTGAGAACATCCAGTTCATTTTGCATCTTTAATATGCTATTATCATACTGAATTCCTTCAAGAGTTTTCTGCATCTCCATTATTTCAGATACAGCTTTCAGCATATCATCTTCCATATTAAACATCTGCATAGTCAAGCCTTCCATTTTCTTTTCTGTTCCTATCAGATCCTGAGAGACTCTGAGAACAGAGCGAATAGCACTTTCAATTGTTGGCAAGTGTGTCTTGCATTCTTCAACTTTGGGTTCGTAGTTGGAAAGTTTATTAGTCAGGTCTTCATCTCTGGCAAAAAGAGCATGCTGCTCCTCTTCTAACTTTTCAACTGCTTTTGTATCAGAGCCAAGCTGTTCCTCCACTCGCAGAAGATCTTCTTCTTCTTGTCTTTTTACTGTTCTGATATTTCTTAGGGTGCTATCTTCCAAATCTTTTAACCGTTCAGTGAGCAGTTTTATTTCTTGCTCAGCTGAGTTAATTTGGACAGTAACTTGAGAATGTATATGTTTTGCTTCTGATTTGAGAATGTCTGTATTAACATTTATTTCTTCTAGGTGTCTCTTCCAGAAATTTGTAATATTCTGGAATTTCTCATTAAGGTTTTGCACCTTTACAGTGACCATCTCTTCACTATTTTGAATGTCATGCATGATACTTTGGAGGCTGGATACTTCCTGCTCAAATTGGGTCATCAAAGACATGGATGATGTAGCTTCCTGCAGGATACTTTCAGTGGACTCAAGCTGCATTTATAACACAAAACAATTCCCAAGGCTACTTAATAATTTTTATATTAGAGAAACACACTTTAATAATCAGGAGCATAACAAGTGCCAAGAACAAATTCTTTTTTTTTTAAAGGCCAAGAACAAATTCTGAAGATATCTAAAATATTTGAGTATATCAGAATCATACTGACAAAAAACATTAATAGCTATTTTAACAAACTTCACAGATTAGTAATATGTTGGGAAAATATACATCTGAATTTATAATCCTAGGTATTTATGCATTTTCATGGAGGCATATTCGAGGAAGAAAACATGTTTTAAAAGCCTAAATAAATTCTTTCACATTTTCCTTTTTTTTTCTAATGAAAAGTAACTTAGATGTCATTATTATGGTTACTCGGCTGCAACTTTGTATGAAATTTGTTTTATTTCCTAATTCCTATAATTCTAGAGTAATTTCTATCTGAAAAAAAAAAAATTTGACCAACCTCTTTCAGGGAAGGTACTAGAATTTGATCTCATAGCTATAAAGGTAAAAATGAATTGAAAAAAAATTTAGTAAGACAAGTCACATCAAATGGTAAAGTATTCTAAGTATTATATCTGCAAATATGGTAAACCTCTGGCATCTCTTAGTAAGTACCTTCAGAAGAGCCAGAAGGGCCGGCAGGTAGCATGGTGGTTAAGGATGCTGGACTCCTACAGCTGACTGTGATTTGAGTCCTGAACCTGGTGGCTTACCCTTTCTTTCTCTCTCTCTCTCTCTCTCTCTCTCTCACACACACACACACACACACACACACACACACACACTCTGACTCTCATTCTGTCCCTCTCTGGTCAAATTCAAATAAATAGGTAAATAAGTAAATAAATAAATAAATAAATGAAAATAAAGTTAAATAAAATAATTCTTAAAAAAAAAAAGAAAAAACAAGAGCCAGGTAAAATATCTCTTTTGAACTAAACTTATACATAGATAACAGCTTAAAAGACTATGAGAAGGTCTAGAAATGATCAATAATTTACCAAAAGTTTGCAGCACTGTGTTGGAGACATAGTACTGAACAAGCCACTGTTTTCCTCAAGCAGTGTGGTTTAACTGGGAAGAAAGATAAATCCATATGTACTACTGAAGCAGGCCAGTTTATGGTTTAGAAGGACTGCAACCTTTTGAAACCAAGAAAGGTCTTTAATGAGAACAGTCTGACCAAAAGCTGTCATAGGAGATCTGTTAGAGGAATGATCGGATGAAAAACCAGGAATGGGTATTTGAAGGAATCAGGATTATTTTTCAGGAAGTGACTGACTTGGATTGATTGTAGTGAAGAATGATTAGCATGTGCTTATATCTTGTACTTATAAACACTCAGAACGTTTAGAGCTTTCGAGATGGTTTGATGGTACTTGCTGACTGACTCCTTATATCAGTAATAGAAATAAACTCCCTTCTTCTCCAGCCTCTGCCTCTCATTTCATTGACTGTAAGAAGCAGCCAAACTTAGTTGGCTGGTAACACTATGTCAAGGGAAGAGCTCTGGACGTACTTATGTGGAGACTCAACCCAGACCTAAGTGGTCTAGGATTCTAGAAGTATTATATAATACCTGATTCAAGTCACTTTTTCCTTTTTAAATCATCCTACAGGTCAGATTAAGCTTTTAAAACTGCTTTGCACATCTTGGTACACTGCTAAAAAGAACTTTTGATGTTTCCTAATACATTCAGCATAAAGCTCCAAATTCCATAACCTCTCTTCATGCTGGTCTACTTTCCTCTTTACTTTGCTAAATTCTGTCCTTATTTCAAGGCTCAGACTGGATCTCTGTCCTTCAGTGCAGAATTTGTCCATAATAATAGCCTTGAGAGCCTGAATTCCTGTAACTCCATATAATATTATATATTTACCATATTTTGGCACCTAGCACACATTATTACAAAAGTTCTGAGTGGGGGCTGGCAGATGGCATGGTGGTTAAGGCGCTGACTTCCCACATGGCTGACTGTAGTTCAAGTATCAGACCTGGCAGCTTGCTTTTTCACTTTCCCTCTCTCTCTCTCTCTTAGGTCAAATAAAAAATAATTGTAGTAACGAATATAGAGAATGCACCTGTTGATGTCTGGGAAGAAGAATGGCCATAAACCTTCTCAGCTCACCCCAATGAAGACCTAAAGCAGTTCTAGGTGATAGGTAGGAACAACGTGTAACAATTTTGGCTTTATAATAAGACCATGCTGAAAAATTAAGTTATTTTCTTTGAAAAACACATATTAGACCTAACAAAGATATACAGTAATTAAATATAAATAGTAAAACAGAAAAAATTTTTTTAATGTACATGGGTAGTTATAATACAAGTTCTCTTAAAAACCCAATTCTGAGAAATACTTGTACATTGGTAACACAGTTTAGTTGTTTTATAAACTGCTTTTTGGAGAGGCAAGTTTATCTTCACCTAAAGTAATTTCCCATGTAGGCTGTTCACCAAGAGCACCACTGTAATCTGGAGACAGTATACCCCAAGTACAAGATCAACTTTTCAGGATAAGTCTCAAGATCTAATCTGCAAATATTTAGTGAACAGTATACTACAGTAACTAGGCATTTATGGACTGCCAACACATTCTAATAGTTTTTCATCTTTTTAAATAAAGAGCTAATACCTTAAATTTATTAGTACTTAAAAATTTCAAAGTTTTTGTTTGTTTGTTTGTTTACTTTTTAAGAGAGAGATTTTTGCTATTGGGTGCGTGTGCTCACCAAAAAGAGAGACGGGAAGTGAGAAATTACCCCCTTGGGGGGGATGGCCATGCCACAATCCTTTCTTCACTATTCTCTGGGATTTGGGGCACACATGTATATGCACCTGGTGTGAATTTTAAGTTTTCAGGTCCAGGACTTGAACTGCAGTTGACCATGTAGGAGTCCAATGACGTAACCGTTATGTCATGTGCTGGTCCCTCAAACTGTTTTAAAATATATTTCATCTGACCCTTACTTATCATTAGTTTATTTTAGTTTTCTTTCTTTCTTTTTCTTTTTTGAAGAGGTTTTTGGTATAGGGCGCATGTGCTCGCCAGAAAGACAGAGAGAGACAGAGAGACAAAAAAGCGAGATATCATCCCCCAGGGGAATGTCCACACTGCAATCCCTTCTCCTCCATTCTCCTCTAGGATCTTGGGCCATTATGTACACACGCCCGGTGTGAGTTTAAGCTGCCAGGTCTGGGACTCGAACCACGGTTGACTACATGGGAGTTCAGCGACAAAGCCATTACGCTAATGGCTGGTCCCAGTTTATTTTAGTTTTCTTCTATAGGGAGCATGTACCTGCCAGAGAGGGAGGGAAGGAAGAAAGCAGGAAAGAGAGAAAAAGAGAGACAGAAGGTAAGAAATCAGTCCCCAGAGATGGTTATGCAACAATCCCTTATCCTTCATTCTCCTCTCAATTTTTGGGCACACATGCAGACAGGTATTGTTGTTTGTTTGTTTGTTTCTTTCTTTCTTTTCTATAGCGTGTGTGCGCTTGCAGGAAAGAGAGATAGAGAGAGAATAAGAAAGCACTCCGAAGGCAGGATGACCACATTGCAATCCCTTCTCTTCCATTCTCCTCCTGGGATTTGGGGCATGCATGCACATGCACCCTGCATATTTTTCAAGCCACTGATCGAAGACTTGTTGTGTATCTGGCCACATGGGATCCAGAGCCTTAACTTCCATACCACCGGCTGGCTCTATTTTTTTTTCTTTTAGTTTGCTATAGGGCATATGCACTTGATGATGAGGGAGAAATCATCTCCCCAGGTGGGCATGGCCACACTACAATCCCTTTTCTTGTATTTTCTTCTCAGGATTTTGAGCATGCACAAAGCTTTTTAACTGCCATCCAAAATTTTCATTTTTAAAAGAAATCTAGGGCCAGCGTAGATTTGGCTGGTGGTGAAGGTGGCTGGATTCCATATGGCCAAATATATGGTTTGAGTCCCAGATCAAGTGGCTAGGTATTTTTATATGTATATGAATATATGCTTAAAAAAGTGGGAAAAATGTATAGAGCTTTTTCCAGTAAGTGCTATTTATCTTCTATTATACCTAAAGATCAACCATATTTTCAATACTGTAGATATGGGACACTTAAGTAGAAAATTAACATGTCAGGGAACAGCAGGAGGCATGGTGGTTAAGGCGCTGGGTGCTCCCACATGGCTGACCACGGTTCGAGTCCTGGACCTGGTGGCTTGCTCTCTCACCTTCTCTTTCTCTCTTTCTGTGTATCTCTCTAGTCACATTAAAAATGAATGAATGAATAAACAAAGTTAAATAAATAATTAAAAAAAGAAAATTAACATGTCAATATGAACATATGAATTATTTTCATCAATATAAATTGTTATGGAAGAAAATCTGTGTCCTTTCAAAGTGTAATCTGAGACTCAACTAGATTGGAGGAACAACTTCAAGAAGTAAAAAGACCAGTGAGAATAAAAGTAATCATAGTCTAGGGGCCGGCAAGTGGCATGGTGGTTGGGGGAGCTGACTCCCACATAGCCGACTGTGGTTTGAGTCCTGGACCTGGAAGCTTTCTTTCTTTCTCTCTCTTTCTCTCTCTTTCTCTGTCCCTGTCCCTCTCTGGTCAAATTAAAATAAATAAATAAAGTTAAATAAAATAATTCTTAAAAAAAATTATCATGATCTGAAAGGCAGGAAGAAAGATCTGGCCTGGGGTAGAGGAATGGTAGTGGGAAAGTAAAATGGAAAATCTCCCCAAATAGGTCAATTAATATTACCTTTTCTGAAATTAAACTGATTTTATTTTGAAGTCCTTGGAATTCATTGGTTTCTGTTTTCAGTAACTGGTACCGGTTTTCCATTTTTGCAAATTTTTCAGACTGCTGAAATACAAACCTGAAAAAGAAAAAAAAATCATTATTGCCTCATTTGTATAGATTTAAATCTAAAATTTAAAAGCATATTATACCCATTTTTGGTAAGTATAACATAAATTCTAGTATGGGGTAGCTTCAGTCTTTACCAGTTTGTTTTAGAAGATTGCCTAGTATAAAGTAGGTAATAGTTTAACTCATATAAAGATGAGTAAAATACTGCTCTTAGTCATAGTTCACAACATAGTTACTGAAATGACAGTGTATCTGTAGCAGATGAATACATAAGAAATATTTAGGAAAAAGACACAGTGAACTATTTAGAACAAAATCTTTGCTCTCTACTACTTTTCTCAAAGTCACCTGTGGGCAATATCTAAGAAAATAAGTGTTTTTGTGCTGAAATATAGGAGAAATAAGAGTTATCTTTTTTTTGCAAAAAGTTTTGCTATAAGGCACGTGCACTCGCCAGAAAGACAGAGAGACACAGAGAGACAGAAAGTAAGAAATCACCCCCCAGGGGGGATGGCCATGCCTCAATCCCTTCTCCTCCATTCTCCTCTTGGGATCTTAGGCATGCACACTTGCCCAGTGTGAGTTTAAGCCACCGGGTCCAGGACTCGAACCATGGTCAACTAAACAGGAGTCCAGTGACATAGCCGTTATGCTAACTGCTGGTCCCATGAGTCATCTTTTTTTTTTTTGGAGAGTTTTTTGTTATAGGGCGCATGCGCTTGCCAGAAAGACAGAGGACAATAGAGAGACGAAAAGTGAGAAATCACCCGAGGAGATGTGGCCACACCACAATCCCTTCTCCTCCATTCTTCCCTCAGGCACACATGCCCAGCGTGAGTTTAAGCCACCCGGTCTGAGGCTCGATCCATGGTTGACCTCATGGGAGTCCAGCGACATAGCCATTGCACCAACTGCTGGTCTCAAAATAAGAGTTATCTTTAAAAAAATATTTAAGAACTAAGAGGGGGACTAGCAGATGGCGTAATGGCTATGTTGCTGGACTCCCATGTAGTCGACCGTGGTTCAAGTCTC